TTGCAGGTAGTTATCTACATCACCGTCAGCTTCCGTATAGCTCTTAAAGGCTTGATAGGGAATTTTGGCTTTCCCCGGGGTAATGCTGACAGGCGTTGTGGCTCTTTCTCCGGCTCGCTGATTTGCTTGGAGTCTGACCACCAGGTACTCCTGTACGTCTGCCATCATTTGGGACAGTATCTCCATGGAGGGGTCTCTGGATAAAAGGCTAGCCTGCTCTTTAGCTCCTTGTCAAATTCGCTGGGTTCTGCTTCCCGTGGAGCGGCTGCAGTGGTTTCTCTGTATCCCTCTATGAGTTCTGCCACAAGGGTCGCTTTGGTTTTATTGCTGGCGCTTTTTCCCCTTGTTTCCAATAATTATTTCAGCGTAGCACGTTTCAATGTTGCATAGTTCAACTCCATTCACCAGTTGTTCGTATATTTTTACATATTTACCGAACCCTGGTTTTATCCAAATGGTTTGTTCCGTTGAACTGCTGCTTCTCTTCTTTATTCGTGTGATTACTGCCAAATGCTGGTTTGCTGTGTGTTTGAAATCCTGTCGCTTGCCACCAGTTGTAGCGGAGAGGTAGAATAATCCACAATATCTCCGTTGGTAGACAGGAACAGTATATAATAATCCAGGTAGAAAAAGTACAGCATACAATAATCCCGGTAGCGTTATATAAATCCATCCTTCCCAAGAACTAGACGACACAGGCTGGGAGTCAACTGAGGTTTTAATCACAGGTCACAGTATTTATGTGGTTCCCCATGCAAGGGGTTTCCTTACTGACTTTACAGGGGTTGTACAGTAGGGGACTACATGGGGAACTTAACAACCAGGACATTTCTCCCACCATGCACTGCTGTACAAGAGGGATACTACCACTAGAATATCCAGTTAAGTGGGTTATCCCTCCGTGCAGCAGAACTGGCTTTTTACATAAAAATATATAACTTTAACATTATTCGACCGTTCGGCAGATAGCTGGGGTCTGAGCGCCTACTTCATCAAAGTACCGCTCAGATCCCAGCACAATTAGCCAAACGCTGCACGAAGTACACTTGAACACACATTTTTACCAAAGTCAGTATTTTATCTCTACCTGTGTATTCGGTGCTCCCAAACAGCCTGGAAGTCCAGCGGTATTCGTGCCGTCGAGTAGCCGATTTTAGTTCCAGGCACTTGACAACAAAATACCGCTGGGCTAACAAGGGATCCAAGATGGCCGACTGCCGCGTGGCGGTATCTGAATGGCGGCCACCCTGAACATCTATTAACTATTGAAAGATACAATGTTGCGGTCCGTAATGGGAGCCACACGACCTCCTGTGTGTGGTCTCCCATTCGGTAGTTTGTTCATTTCACGAACAGTGTTGAAATTCACTGTTCGTGAAACTACTGTAGGAATGCTGGTGGCTTTCGTGCCGCCAGCATACGAATGCTCTCATTCGCATCAAATACAGAAAAGGGAGCATGCACAGTTCAGATAGCCTTAAAGCTACAATACCACATGAATGGAAATACAGTCTTAAGTGGCTAGTTTTGCCACAGTGCCCAAGTAAACATTTTCAAAGATTGTATCATGGAACTGTGTCCCGTCCAGTTATTGGGGAAATAGGTCTGACCTATTCTAACCAAAGGGGATAACCAGCCAGGTTATTCAGGTTCCGCTACATGGGTGCCCAAATTGATATGCCCTAAGTTAGCTAATATATTACCCCCCCATGGGCACGCTTTTATCAACCTGGGACACAGCCCGAGCAATAATATGTACTACCCAACCATGGTCGCAGGCTGCACCACTGACCAGTTTGCACATAGCTAAACCCATGTTAGACAACCGTGCATGGATAAAAGGGGGTTGTACCCATATCCGCAACCTATACACTTCGCATGCACTAATACCATTCCCTACACACAGGGGAAATTTAACCGTCCCTCCAGAACAATATTTTCATACCTTCAAATCAAATCTTTACCATCTGCCCAGAAACCTAATGCTGAGGGAATAATATGAACATCTAAGTTTGAGGCGGCTTGTCTGGCGCCTATGTTGCCAAAGAAGCTGATCTCCATGTGTGACTCTCTCCTCAATGCGGGGACCACAAAATCAGTAGACAGATTTAGTCTAGCGTGGCAGGCAGACCTAGGGTTCTCGTTTGATGTAGTACAATGGTCAAGAGCACTCACAGCACATAAAGGGAAAACCTCCTGCAAATCAGTGGGAAACCTATACACTGGGGAGCCTAGACATAACATCATAGTCCCAAGATGTCTCTGAAAGACAGGATGGAATGACAAAAGACATGAAAAAATAAAAAGCCATATTTTTGGTCATTGGCCATTTATAGCTCACTTAAGCCACCCATACCACACAAGACAGATAGGCACTGACAAGCTAAAAATAGGATGTGGCGGAAGACGACCAACTTCTGTAGTTACCTGTTACCACATACCTCAAGATACTGGACCAGCAAACCTGCAAAACACCCATCCACACCTCCCTCTCCCCTTTCTTCTGTACCTTGTACCATTAACGAGAGAGCCACTGTAAGTAACTAACGACGGAAGTAACATGGATTACCAAGTTCCAAAAACAATGAAAGCTCTATGAAAGAACACATAAGGGACACAACACGAGACCACAACCACAGTTTCAAATGAATAGGTTACCCGGACAGGTTATAGGGGAAACTAGTTAATTAATGATTGCTGTAAATATGTTTCTGATCTGTGCCTTTCGTGTTGGTCCTGAAATGTGGGGCCCGTTTTGAACGCACAATAAATTGCAGGTTGGTTATAAGGTGACTCCTGTTGATGTAAACAAAACTTGTAATTTGACTATATGTCTGTTCAACAGTAATTCACCTCTTTCATATTAAGTGCACCCACACTTATTATACATCCTTTTATTCAGGAGAAATATGGCTTTTCATTTATCAAATATTTAGCTATGAAACATAATTTAATATGAAAAAAATATAAAACAATGTGAGAAATTTAGAAATGTTGTTTTTTTAATTAATTGCATGACATTTTAACTGTGAATGTCATAATACTGTTTTTATTGCTTATTTTTATTGCTTTGATAGCAATAAAATACACATTTTTATTCAGCAATGTCTCAAATGTGCAAAACAATACAACTTATGTCAGGTTTTATGGTGTTTTGGGAAGTTACAGGATCAAATATAGCATGTTACATTTTTCATTTTTTTCACATTGAAATTCACCAGATTGGTTATGTTGCCTTTGAGACCTTTTAGTAGCCCAGGAATGAGAATTACAATTTGCAATAGCAGACAACCCAATGTATTGACAATGGGGTATGTCCAGTCTTTTATAGTAGCCATTTGGTCACAAACACTGGCCAAAGTTAGCATTAATATTGGTTTGTGTGTGAAAAATAAAAAAAACTAATTTGAATGCCGATTTTGGCCAGTGTTTGTGACTAAAAAAGACTGGACATACCCCATTTGCAATACCTTGGGTTCTCTACTTTTGCAAATGGTATGCCATCATGCGGGTAATTCTCATTCCTGGCCTACCAATACAGTCTCAAAGGCAACAACCAATCAGGCGAATTTTAATGTGAAAAAACTGAAACACAAGCTTTATATTTGACTCTAACTTTTGAAAACACCATAAAACATGTACATGAGGGGTACTGTTATACTAAGGAGACTTCGCTGAACATAAATATTAATGTTTCAAAATCATAATACGTGTTGCGGAGCTGCAATTTTATAATCCCAGGATCTCTGCTGGTAGAATGCAATAACCAAGTACAAAGCTGGAAGCAGGCAATATTCCCAAATCCTCCCAAGAACCAGACGAAACACAGTCTGAGAGTCAACTGACACTTTATTCAAAAAGACTGATATTTAAAGCAGGTCACTCAACTGTCCCTTTATTCAAAATAACAACTTAGTCAGTTTTAATAGCAATGCTAATGAATGGGGAGGATTCGAACAGACATACACAGTACAGCATAAATTAAACATAGCCGGAGACGCCACACTATACTGGCGCGCAGTACACAACAGAAAATAGGCACAACCATTCTATCTTAGGCAGTGCCAAGTGGCTAGGTTTGCCACAATACGTATTACAAGAATTATATCATCAGTTTAAGTGCCATTTGTGTGTGAAAAATGAAAAAACTTCACTTTCACTGAGAATATCAAGGTTGTAATACATTTTACTGTTTTGAAACACTAATAATTGTGTTCAGCGAAGTCTCCTGAGTAAAACAGTAACCCCCATTTACAGGTTTTATGGTGTCTTGGAAAGTTACAGGGTTAAATATAGTGCTAGCAAATTAAATTCTCTGGACTTTCTGCCTGGGTTATCAGGTAGGTCCCACAAATTGTAATTAATAAAATGCCTTAATTATGTAAAAAAAATATTTATTTTAAAATATATATATTCCATGATCCTGCACTCACATTTGTAGTATAAGTGCCACAGTGCTCTTTCAGCCAAATCAACATAAATTTCCATGAAGAAAGGCACACGCTGGGCTTTTTGAAGAAAATTATTTGTCTTTATTCATAACTCATGAAATTCGATGTTTCAGGCCATCATAGGACTTTCATCAGGATCTTGATGAAAGTCCTATATTTAGCCTTGTACTGCAGAGAGCCCCAGATGGAATATTTCCCCAAGTAAGTGGGTTAATCTCATAAGAGCAGACATTAGGCTTAGAGTAGGACCTGCCAAAGATGGGGTACATTGACGTTGTGGCAGGCTTATGCAATGTATGATGATATAATGTAAATAAACCCCCATTATTTTTGCCTAGATTAGGTGTTTTAAAGAAAAACTAATAAAATCTGTCAACATTGAAGTTGCTGTTTAGTGGAAAGGTGAGTGCGCTGGATCTTGTGTAATAAAAAAAAAAAATAAAAAATAAAAAAAATATATATTCTCTATCTTGTTGGAAGCGCACTCACAGGACTCGATACTGTTGCCAAAAATGTGACATTTATTCAAGCTTCAAAAGTTGATTATATAGTGTCGACGTTTCAGTCCACTAGGGACTTTTTTTCAAGACTTGGGGAAAAAAAAGTCCCTAGTGGGCTGAAACGTCGACACTATGTAATCAACTTTTGAAGCTTGAATAAATGGCACGTTTTTGGCAACAGTATCAAGTCCTGTGAGTGCACTTCCAACAAGGCATTTTATATTTTGAGGTCGGAGTGGTACCTAGGCAATAAACAAGACTGGGAGCAAGAGTACGGGACCCAGTGTGAATTGTGTGTGTGTGTGTGTGTGTGTGTGTGTGTATATATATATATATATATATTGCACAGTATATTCAATTTGTGGTTTTACCAGTGATTTATAAAGAGCCAAAATTATATTCTCTTCCTGAGAATAAGGCCCTGTTTTTTTACATGACTATATTTTACTCGCCTTAGCCACTGCTGATTGAAATTGCACATTGTTGCCTGGTTTGTTGTCTATAACAGTTCCCAAATCCTTCTCGTGTGATATCCTTAATTCACTACTATTTAACTATGTATAAGTTGCTTGTGCATTCTTTACCCTAAAGTGCATAACTTTGGATTTTTATACATTTCATCTGCCATTTAAGTGTCCAGTCCCCTAATCTATCTAAATCCCTTGCCAAGTAATATATTGTCCACATTGTATTACTTTACAGAGTTTTGGGTCATCTGCAAACACTGAAACATGACTTTCTTATTCAAATATTTTTATTGAAGATTGTTCAAATAACAATGTAAACATTTACACAATAAGATACAATAATATTAATACAGAAAATGTATAAAATATAATAAAACAGTGGATAAACTCTATAAGTACAATTGTCCAGTGGGATACAAGTAATAACTTATCTGTGTGTGTGTGTGTGTGTGTATGTATGTATGTATGTATGTATGTGTGTATATATATATATATGTGTGTGTGTGTGTATGTATGTGTGTGTGTGTGTGTGTATGTGTGTATATATATATATATATATATATATATGTGTGTGTGTGTGTATATATGTATGTATATGTGTGTGTGTGTGTGTGTATATATGTGTGTGTGTGTATATATATATATATATATACATATATATATATATGCAATCATCCGGTCAGGAACTAACTACGAAATTGATTCTGATGTTTTCTTCCCATAAAAATTTCAGTTTTTGGTGTTGGCAAGCGGAAAGCTAGTTCGCAATGTCTATTTTCAAATTTGTATTGTATGACCTCATTTATGTGTGGTGATTTAATAGTTTTGCAGTGTCGGGTGATTGTCATTGCAGAAATTAGAATAAGGCCTAGTATACTTTTATTATAATTTGGTAAATTTATGGGGATTTGCTTGAAGAGACAAAGCTCTCATGTTAATTTATCAATTGAATTGTCAACAGTTTTAATTAATTTATGTATCAAATTCCAATAAGGTCTAATTTTAGAGCACGACCACAGCATGTGACACAAAAGATCCTCTTTCTCCACACCCCCTGCAGAATGTATTTGTATGTGATGAATTCAATTTGTGTAATCTGGAGGGAGTAAGGTACCAACGGTATAACATTTTATAATGGGACTCTAAATGTGCCACACACGATGTAATACCCCTCAATGCATCTACAAAGTTAATCCATTCTGTGATGTTAAATGTTTTACCCAGTTCTCCCTCCCATTTTATCCTTAAATCTAATTTTGTATTTAGTTCCCTGGCCAAATGAGTGTAGCATATAGAAATGGCTCCTTTCCGAGCAGGATCCGAATAGTATATTTTTTCTACTTTTGATAATTCCAGTTTACTTTGGTTCGGATCTGTCACGTATCCATCTGCACATAAAAATGTGATTAATGGCATTTACTGTCCTGACAGAAAAAGTTGTGCCAAGCAGCAATCAATCCACAGGAGGGTTTGTGCTGAGCAGCAATCATGCAAATAGGAACTTGGTAACTGCCTTTGGGTTCAAAGGCCGGTTACAACCAATCAGATCCACAGACTGGGTATTTAGGCCCACTTCTTCTCTTGCTCTGCGCCCTGTTGTGGTTTCCCTTGTGGTTGTCCGAGAGCGCGTTATTGATTCTGGTTATTCTGGTTATTTGACTTTGGCATTGATATTGACTTCCCTGTTCTCTGGAATCCCTGACCCCTGGCTTTTCCTTATCATTGTGTCTCTTTTGTGTATCCCTTGACCTCTGCTATTTCTGACTATTCTTTGGTACGTTAGTCCGGCCATTCTAAGGTCCAGTATTCGTTACCTATCAGTCCTCTGTGTTACACAATTCTACGTGCTGGATGATACTGTAATCCTGACATTACGACATAGATCCTGTAGAATTGTGTAAGCACATAGCTGCTTGTGAAAGGAAACTGTAAGATAATGATCATTGCATGGATCAATTTGCCCAGGCCTTCAGTACGCTTCTTACCCGAACAGCGCACCTGCGGCATCACCTCCACCTTATGTACCTCCATCTATAGTACAGAAGGCACCTGCATTTTGATGGTAATATTCAAGAATGCCGGGGATTTCTTAACCAAATGTATCATTTTGAGGCCTCACCAGGATCTTTTACCACAGACAGAGCTAAAATTGGTTACCTAATGAATCAGTTAAAAGGTAAAGCTTTAGCTTGGGCCAATCCATTATGGGAGAGTAATCGGAGTGTGGCACACAATTACCAGGACTTACGTTTGAACCGATGACATCTCTACTGCCCTGATGCATATCAGACAAGGGAACCGGTCTATTTCGGAATATGCCATAGAATTTCGTACCCCAACTTCTGAGGTAGACTGGACTAATAGTGGGTTAATCTCTGCATTTAAAAAGGACTATATGAAACTATGCTAGATGAGATTGCCGCCAAAGACTTACCCAAAAAGCTTAATTAATTGATCACTTTTGTCATGCAGATTGATAATAGATTGAGAACTAGAGAGGCTACTAAAAACAAGACCAGATGCCTTTAGCTCCCCATTTCTCCAGACCTATTGTCCCTGAAATGCCTGTACAGTCCGAACTCTAACCCATGCCGTTGGGAGTCACTAGACTGTTGGAGGCAGAAAGACAATATAGGAGAAGAGAAGGTCTATGTTTATACTGCGGTAGAAAGGGACACATGAGAAACATGTCAGGGCTTACCTGGGTTGAGAGTCCGGCAGGCAGAGATGTATGCTCACCCTTGCAAGTAAACACAGGCCGAGGTGGTCAGGTAAGAATTCACCTGGCCTGTGAGTCGGTGCACGGGGGCTGTGCAGGATAATTCTCCAAGTCGCAGTACAGGAACGGATAAAGCAGGAGAATCGTCATGGGTAAGTCAGAGGGTGCCAGAAATCAGGATAAACGAGAAGAAAGCAGAGGTCAGAGGATGCCAGAAGTCAGGATATACGGAGTAACAAGCCAAGGTCAAGAGCAAACTGGAGAACACAAAACAGCAGTATGATCACCAGAGTGTGTGTGTGTATATGTATATGTATATGCCATTAATCACATTTTTATGTGCAGATGGATACGTGACAGATCCGAACCAAAGTAAACTGGAATTATCAAAAGTAGAAAAAATATACTATTCGGATCCTGCTCGGAAAGGAGCCATTTCTATATGCTACACTCATTTGGCCAGGGAACTAAATACAAAATTAGATTTAAGGATAAAATGGGAGGGAGAACTGGGTAAAACATTTAACATCACAGAATGGATTAACTTTGTAGATGCATTGAGGGGTATTACATCGTGTGTGGCACATTTAGAGTCCCATTATAAAATGTTATACCGTTGGTACCTTACTCCCTCCAGATTACACAAATTGAATTCATCACATACAAATACATTCTGCAGGGGGTGTGGAGAAAGAGGATCTTTTGTGTCACATGCTGTGGTCGTGCTCTAAAATTAGACCTTATTGGAATTTGATACATAAATTAATTAAAACTGTTGACAATTCAATTGATAAATTAACATGAGAGCTTTGTCTCTTCAAGCAAATCCCCATAAATTTACCAAATTATAATAAAAGTATACTAGGCCTTATTCTAATTTCTGCAATGACAATCACCCGACACTGCAAAACTATTAAATCACCACACATAAATGAGGTCATACAATACAAATTTGAAAATAGACATTGCGAACTAGCTTTCCGCTTGCCAACACCAAAAACTGAAATTTTTATGGGAAGAAAACATCAGAATCAATTTCGTAGTTAGTTCCTGACCGGATGATTGCATATATATATATATGTATATATATATATATACACACACACACATATATACACACACACACACACATATACATATGTATGTGTGTATGTATGTATGTATGTATGTGTGTGTGTGTGTGTGTGTATATATATATATATATATATAAAAAATTTCCCCCTCTCTCTCCCCCTCTCTCTCCCCCATATATTAATTATGAAATCCTTTTATGTTTCTAACAAAATAAATTATGTTGTGAGGAAAAAACAAAAACCTTATATTATTATTAAACATGTATTAATACTTTTCATTTTTCACTACTTATTACTATGGAACAATAATATGACAGCAGAAATTACATATAATGTTTAGCAAACTAAAATCCCTATTTTATTACTTTTTTTTTTATTGTGTAGTTGACGCTTTTCTTATTTTTCTTTGTGGCTGCGGAGTTGATGGCACTTGAGTTGGTGGAGGTTCTGGATTTTGTGTAATTAGAGCATCTAGTATTTCTAATCCTTCTTCTGGTGATGTGATAATGTAATTTTTCCCATTGTTGCAAAAAATAATTTTAACTGGGAATCCCCAACGATAATGGATGTTATGTTTGCGCAGTTCTGAAGTAAATTTTTTATTTTTTTTTATTTTTTTTATGGTGTTGGATGAGAAATCATGAAATACTTTTAATATGTAATTTATTATTTGTTAAAATCCTTCCTTTATATTGTAGAAGTGCACCCTAGCCATCACGTCATTAGGAAACATGACTTTCAATGCTTATTTCAAGATCATTTCTAAATCTGTTAAATTTCAGCAGTCCAAGAACAGAACCCTGAGGGACACCACTTACCACTTTCATCCAGCTTGAAAATTTGCCATTAATGGCAACTCTCTGTACTCTATTT